CCCCCCCCCCCCCGGCCAGCAAACGAAGATGTCGGGGACCATTTCTCCGAGAGATAGGCTGCAGCTCTGGGTTAATACATTTTTGCTAAAGCAAAAGGAAAACTCAGGTAGCGTAACCGCTACCTTTCGTGATAAGGCCGTCCATATATACATGCACTACATTGCATGCTATCCCTTCAGGAGAACATACATATATCTATACTATACTATACATCATAATGTGTGTGTGTTATTATAGATATTTTAATGTATATGTATGTCTTATCAAAAAAGCAAGACATGTACCAAGAAGATCTCCGGGATCTTTCTCAAGCTGGAAGCGTTCCCCGAATCCCCTGGGTCGACTGAACCCCTCAGATCCGAGCCCGCATTCCCGTGACGCCCACCTCGGTGCCAGCAGTGATGCCTGCCTCAAGCAGCGTTTCTTCATCGTCCAACTGGTGCATCTCGAAGACCACCTCCACGATGGTCAACGCACGTGTGATCTCGTCACTCGAGTCACTGCAGCTGTAGGCCGAGTCCTTGAGCAGCTGTTTCAACTCGCGGGCGGTGGCATCCTTGCGTGAAGGCATGCTCGAAAAACACAAGGAGATCAATAAGAATATAGAACTAGGGCCGCAGTCGTTCTTGAAATGCCTCTGCCCTGATTTGATACACTCAAAGTGGGAATCAAAGGATCAAATCCCATCTCCAAGCTGGAGCAAGCTCCTCGGTCAATGGTCCAACTTCGGCCATGCGTGAAGCCAGTTCTTCCAGTCTTGACAGGCTTAAGGTCTGCTTGTCGGTGTCTTTTTTGCTTCTTCCCTCCAAGGAACGTGAAAGTCGGAAAGCGGCCTTTGTCTTCCAGGGGGTGTGCCATTTCCACGTGCCATTGGAGAGAGGGGTATCTCATGTTCTGGTTCTTGACCCTGCAACTGGTATAGGATCCATCTGAGTCACCTTAGCCCCGTTTCGTTCCACCCCAGTTCCGTGACATCTGACTCCGAGCATCTGGCAGCACATCGATCTCATCAACAGTTCCATTCAGCTGTCGTGCTTGAATTCGCATCGGCCGCCCGCCCGGCTCCGAACGACCGGGTCCCCCCGACGGCGGCGAACCCCGAAGTCCTCGAGCCGGTCGACG